AGTCCCTGGCCGGCGCCATCGCCTTCTTCTACTCGTCGTACACCGACTGTCACATCCAAGTCCTCATATTAGCCATATTCGCCTCATTGGGAACCATATCATTCTCGACAGTCGAGTGGTCCGCTCGAAAGGACAGGGATGCCGTCGGCGACACCACTCACGGAGACTGACGGCCGCCTCGTTGTTAACTAATTTAAATGCATGTCTATAATAATTATTATAATAATCTATTTTGTTGTTGGATTTCTACAATTTTCGACTTATATTCAGAAAATATTTTTATATGTATTTTATTAAACATTAAGAAATCTGTTAATAAATCTCTTGAAAAGAGGACTTTGTGTGCGATTGTGACTAATTAATGGACAATCGCTGCTACCCATCACATCTACGTGTATTAAACTGTATTAGCGGTCATATTATCAATAAGTTTCAAAGTACTGCCAATTCTTTATAGGCATATAGTGTCCAGGTATCTGTATATTGTCAGTTGCCACTCATTTATCGGTTGTATATCATGTTTATCAAGTGGTATGAAAGGTTGAGGTGGTGTTTGGGTACAGGAAAGGCCTATTTGTGGTGCACAAAGTGGTCTAATTAGTGAATGATAGCAATGATAGCAATGAACGGATACAACAGTTCAGAGAGAGAAGTGATGGCAAAGTCATAGCGAGTGATGTGTCCTATAGTTTGTGCGTTCAATGTATGAGTAGTTTTGGCGCTGCTTTCAGTCAAAGCGTGCATTGAATGCAACACTCACTCCACTATTGACTCAATGTTTGCATTCATTTATTGCATAAAACTCTATGTTTTTCATTGCATTCACTGTTTTTGTATTGCATTTCAATGCGAACTCTTTGTCCGATTCAGTGACCCATTGATCTCTCGCCGCAGATAATCGCCGACCCGTTGGTCACCCGAAGGCATGTCTGCCCGCAGGAGAGGCCGCTCTCAGGACAGCGCCAGCGACTGGAGTATCGGATCCCATGACCACAAAGACACGAAAATAGGCGACAAACTCGCGGATAGGAGTCATCACTCCGAGAATGAAGCCTTCCTCCAGTCATTTGAAAGTATGGATCAGTTGTGGTGACCATTGAGGTGATGAGGAATTAATTGATTGTTTTTGTTTATCCGCCGATTGTCTCCATTCAGAACCGACACAAATATACCGATACTTAAGAACTCGTCACTTGGTTTCCGTAAGTGTTGTCATGTCTCTGCTGCAGAGGTTGTAGCCATTGATGTCTTTGATTATCTTCGCAATTATAGCCCATATTTCTGAACCGAAACCTGTATTATATGAAACACCGACTGAACCGAAGTCGTGGTAAACGGCGCCGCGATTTCAGTGTCGATAGTATTCTTCAATATGTGATCGAAAGGAAACAAAGAGAAGCCATCGCTGAAGAGTAGGCTATCGGAACGGGTCCACCAATTGGTGTCCATTTGCTTAATGTGTGTCTCATTCGGTTGCAGATCTTCAGGCAATTTGACGCTTAACCTCATGTGTGTCCGAAACCACAGTTCAAACAGAGGTATGATTTGTTGAACCCTTTGAGCCCATAATGAGTGGAAATGTGTTTCAGTCGGGTCTGAAGATTACTCGGCGGTAACGGTGGAGACATCGCTGCTGAAGATGGGTCACCAGAAGCGCAAAGACGTGTTGGCGCCTGTCTATCAATATTTAGGTCCGTTTTTGTCCCGTATTTTGAGTGAATTTTGTCAGTAATGTGTTGTTTCGCGACGAATGGACAGTCGGCTCGTGTGACATACAGGCGGACGGCGACGACGAGGTGGACATCTGTCAGACCGTCTATAAGAGCGAATTGTGTGAGCAATCAAACGCTCAGATCGTGAAGCAGTGGTCGTACTCCTTGCTGTTCATCGTCTCCTTTCACGCGCCGCAACTGAACGGCAATTGTGTTGAAAGTGATAAACAGGAGAACGACATGTCTTTGATGAACGACAATACCATCAACTGTTTGGCCAAAAGGCGCCGTTTGGACGACGCGGCGAACGTCTCCTACTTCAAGACGGAACTCGTGATATACGACAAACACCAGAACTGTCACCTGACGGACGGCGAGTACACGGCTGTCCTGCAGCCCTGCGCGCCCCCCAAAGCCAACAAGTTTGGCAAATACGGAAAATACTCGAAATGGCAGGAAATCAGCGCCGAAGATGTGGACAGCCTGTCGCTCGAGGACCCGAACAAACAGTACGGCTCGATGGAGGTGTTCCGCAAGGGTCCGGTGCTTAAGTTCAAGCTGTCGTGGAGTTCCAATCAGCCCTCCGTCAGTATTAATGGTCTCAACCACTGCCTGTCCAACAATAATGAGAACGACTCGGGCATCGGAAACAACATGAGCGACAACTCCAGCAATCAGTCATACAATGGCTGCCTCTCATCCACCGGCGGTTCCCTCAAACACCAGGGCAACGGTCTGTCGCCGCCGGCGCCCAAGAAGTCGTTTCGAGTCATCTACCAGTTCTTGTTCAACAACAACACCCGCCAACAGACCAAACCCCAGAACGACCTGTGCTGCCCCTGGTGTTCACTCAACTGCCAACTACTCTATTCACTCATAAAGCATCTCAAGTTATGTCACTCGCGGTTTGTATTCAATTACGTGCCGGACATCAAATGCGCGCGAATTGACGTCGCGATCAACGAGTGCTACGACGGCTCGTACGCCGGCAACCCTCTCGACCTCTCCGTCAACACCGGGTTCGCCTTCAGCCGCAACGGACCCGTCCGTCGCAATCCCGTCACTCACGTGATTGTCTGTCACCCGAAACGCTATCCGCATTGTCTCAGCGAATTCGATGAGCCCGACGACGAGGATGGCACTAACGGCCGGACGTACATCTCGGGCCACAATCGACTCTATTATCACACGGACTCGTGTCTACCCATTAGACCACAAGAGATGGATTACGACAGCGAAGCCGAAAACGATCCCAAATGGATGAAAGAGAAGACACAAATGGTAGGCAATCGCGCGATGAGTGTGTGTTTGCGGCCATTGATTATAGATCTCGTAATTCTCTTATCAGATGATCGATGAGTTCACAGACGTTAATGAAGGGGAGAAGGAAGTGATGAAAATGTGGAATTTGCATATCATGTCCAATGGGTGGGTATCTGATAATATGCATCACTTTTTAATGTCAAATATAGTCTTAGCGCTTGAATTATTTATGAATCTATTTGCGATTAGTTTTACTTTAATTTTATTTTTGATGCTTACGTATGACATGACTTAAAATAGCGTTTAATTACTCGACTGACTGTCCAATAAGTTAACGAGTGTATTATGTTTGGTGTGTTTTGCATAGGTTTGTGGGCGACTGTCAAATCCAATTGGCGTGCACTATGTTTGTGGAGCAAAAGGGCGATGAGTTGATCGCCAAGAATTTGTACAAGAATTTTGTGTTACATTTAAACAATTTGTGTGATTTCGGAATCCTAAACGCCGCGAGTTTTGCCGAAATCGTTAAAACCTTAAACCAAAAACAAATGGGTTGTGACCAACAGAGCCGCACTACCGATGATGAGAGCCGTGTCGGCGCAGCCGAGGCTAACGGTTCCCTAAAATCGCGATAATATTTGCTTTTAATTTATTAGCGCATGATTTGTACCGAAGAATATGGTGAATGAATGTATTAATTTACATAAAACATAAACATTAATGTTTATAACATAACGCATGTGTTCATATATTTGTTTTTAAATTATGATATAAATTATACCAATTATTTAAATTAAGATATTTAATCAAATCTTTGACATTATTTTGTAAATTTTTAATACGATTTTTTTTTCTTAGAATTAGGATTATATTAATATACTATTGTACTTGTAACTTAATGATATTCCATACATTGACGATTAGGTATAATTTTTGTTAATTGAATAAAACTATACATCGATTTTTTTCAATTGATTTTGTATAAGCCATATAATGATTTCATAAATTGTATATTATAATTATAAACCCGACCCTATATTAAAATCTTTCAATGAATAAACAGTCAAATGTCTATATAATATGATAAAATGATTATATTTTTAAGATTCGCGTTATTACTCTATCCGTGTGTATTGGGAGGGAATGGGAGAATGGGATCAATTGAAATATAGGAGATATGATTATTGTAAGCTTATGGACGACACACATACAATATTTTCATATTATTAATGGATTTAAACCCAAACCATCATTTAATGTCAGTATTTGACGCTTACAAGTTAGAAAATACTATAATAATTCACTCAATGTTTCAGTGATGCATCACTTCGTAGAGATAGTGATGGGGATGAGAGAGAGAGAGAGAGAGAGAGAGAGAGAGAGAGGCGGCCTCAGCATCAGTGAAAGTGAACTGATGTATGGATTGTGCGACACAGGGATGAGTTGAGTGGACACCAGAGGGCAAACGCGAAGCGCCGAAAAAGTGGTCAGAATTTTGTGTGCATTGAGTGGTGAGTATTGAGACGATTCTGTTTAGCATTCAGTCAGTGTTGAAGTGCTTATGAATGCAATGATAGAAGCGATTCATGCCATTCCTAATGACTTGGAGTCACATTCAGTGCATTCACTGCAATGCGAGTGAAAATGTTTTGCCTATAAAAATATGTGTAAAATTCAAATGAGGAGTAACTTTCACTTACAAATGAGTTGATATGACATTTGACACGAATTATGAAACTTTGCCCGTTTATTAGCTACATTGCCACCAAAATGAGAACAAATATTCTGGTGTTCATAACATTAAAGAATATGATTCTGCAATAAAAATGTGTTGACTGGTTGAATGGCATACAGAAACAAAATGTAAAGAATATTCTATTAATATAAGTCAAAGTGAATGCAAACAAATGTATCGTTTATCTCATCAATATTTGATGGCAAACACAACTCGGATATCACTATCGCTGAGCAGTTGTTGCCTCGGATTGTGGATATGTTTATTGCTTTGCACTGCAGTACAGGCAAAGCGATCTACCATTCCTTTCAGGTCTAACTCATCATCGATGTCCACATTTGGCAACAGAAATGTCCAAAAGATCACATTCGGAGCAATTTTGCCCAAAACTTTATTAATCACATTACAGCGACAATACTATAAGGTATGACTCGTTATTGCAAACAAATCAATGCATTTATGTCTCAACATTCATACGATAATAAGATTTAAGTCTTAGAGTAATTAATATTTTTTAGCCTTATTGTATACGGTATTAGCATTTATATAAGACTTGTGTATATATGCCTATATTATAAGTGACACACTAATGTATATCTTGTATATAATCGGATGAGTGACAGTCATACCAATCCTCTTACTCACAGCTAATAATTCTGTTTTAATTAACGATCGGACAGTTGGCTCGTAGTCTAGTAACGAGTTTATGTCAAAATCTATTCTAACATTTCACTCCTCATCTCAACTCTATTACGAGAGATTCCTGTCTAACAATACCAGTGCTATCAATATTTATAGACTACAACTTTGTAAGGTTTAGGTGTAGTCATAAACACAGAGCACCTGTATCTCGTCGAAAAGCCTATTAGCGCAACAATTGAGAGCAGATTTTCAAATGAATAATTAGAGGAATTTAAAAATAATTTTCTAAAGTATTTGCAGAGCATTAATATTCTGGAAACGTCTGATAAAATGTAGCAATTCTTTATGAAATGTAAATACTGTGGAAATATTGTACAGAATATTCTGCATTGTTAAATTGCTATCATAATTATTTTTAAATGTACGTTATAAATTATTAATTTATTTAATTCTCACTTCTAGCAAAAAATATGATTTTTTATGTGAAATATTTAACAATTTTTAAAAATTCAAATCTCAAATTCAAAAGGGCATAGTAGAATTTAAATTTAAATTTAATGCATAATATGATTCCCATTATTGTTATATAAAAAATGATATTTAAAATATCGTTAAAAAATATTAAATTTATTCAATAAATTTAACCAGGTTTAGTGGAAATGTAAATCATATGATAAAATACAATATAAGTTAAAGTCATGCGATGTCTAAACACGACCCAAATTGTCCAGTCGTTGGTTTTAATGACATTTTAATACATTTTGACTGCAAATACAGTGAAGTGAGAAACTCGAGAGAAGTTTAATGTCTAGTATTAAAGACACGCTGAGAGCTATAGCCGTGGAATGGTATTCATTGGCTGTCAAACGATTCTTTAGGGCAGAAAACTGTCGCAAACAATGAATTCTTAGTGTAATTCATAAATATATATAAAAAAGAGATGAGAGAAACTGTTTTATGTATTTTCCATTGTCTCACAGTTTATATATCATAGGAAAATACAATGATTTTTGGTCTTTAGGTTATTCAATTGAGACAATGCTCTGCGAGATATATAATATACAGTACACACAAAATTGCATCACATCTCTGGAGAATTAATTGATTTTTTAGTGAAATGCAAACATTGAAAGCGCAAAATGAATTAAATTTCGTTTTCTCTCTCGTTTACTCATCGCTACAAATAAAAACACTTATAATTCAGCGAATAAACAACCGCTCGATGACTGACTGCTTATTAGATTTTGCAGTCATTTGTCACATCATTAATAAGATTAAAATGACAACAATATTCTTAAGCATATTCTCATGTTATCTGTCTGTCTGTCTGTCCCTATATACTATGTGGTGATCCCTACAGCGCCTATTGGACGCAGTGGAAGGGCTGCTGAAGAAACATCAGGCGAAGTACAACTTCACTAATTACTACCAAATAGCGGAGTCGCAGGTCGTGCTCCTGCCGTTAGCGCCCAGCCCTACGGAGATCCTGTCAACGGTGTGCAATCAACTGCTCGTGAAAAACATCACAACCATCCTATATATGACAAACTCGGAGATATGGGGCAGTAATGCCGCGTCCGCCCAATACCTCATGCAACTGACCGGTTATATCGGAATACCAGTCATCGCGTGGAACGCCGATAATATAGGCTTAGATCAGGTCTGACACCCACTTCATTACTATAGTACTGTTGCACTCAGTTTCCTACATTATATACTACATTATGATGTACTGTATGTTTGCCCTAAAGTGTCCATTTCCTCTAAGATCTATATATTATTTGACAAATTCTTTGTGTAAACTCTGCATTACAATGGATCCCAAAAACACGGCTCGTTTTGCCGCCAATAAATCCAATGCCATTAAAGTCGCTTCAAATGACTCGAAATGCTTTCTGTTCACAGAATTTGCTGTTTTATAGTTCGACACAAATTATTGTTTCTTTTATGCCAGACATTCATCTGTCAGCTGAGCACCAAATCTATGAATAATAAGAGTTTAATGCCAACGCTTCAGTGCTCCAGAATATATACAGAATATACAGAATATATACAGAATTATATAGAAAAGTCCAATAAAAGCAAACACTACACAAGTATTGACCGCTTTATAAATACCAGGATCTTATTGGATATATTGTGTAGCAAATATATATTTCGTTTTTATTTTGAAGCTATACTAAGTTATTTTTAGTAATGGGTTATTATTTTTGTTATTTTAGTTGAAATTGATATTCATTCTAATGACAAATATTTAAAAAATAAAATTCGCAATGAATATTATATATATTTCTAAATGTTGGATAATTTAATAATTTATTGCATTTTATTTGTGCAAGGAAATATAAATTTAATATATTCTTAATTGAAAAGAATTATAATTATAAAAGAAACCATATTAATCTAATCAGATTAGTTGCCTTAGTATTTGTATAAAAATTAATAAGCAAAAAATTTAATGAATTTTCGTGATTTTATTTAATAATAAGTGAAAACGCAGTGAAAATGTTGTTATATAATAATAATATTAATATTTGTGAAGCAAAACGAGATTTAGTGAATCATTAGAATCCCATTATATTTAGTATTATTATTACAATAGAGAGCGAAAAGCTTTTGTAAACAAAATTCAATAAAAGCAAACACTACACAAGTATTGACCGCTTTATAAATACCAGGATCTTATTGGATATATTGTGTAGCAAATATATATTTCGTTTTTATTTTGAAGCTATACTAAGTTATTTTTAGTAATGGATTATTATTTTTGTTATTTTAGTTGAAATTGATATTCATTCTAATGACAAATATTTTAAAAATAAAATTCGCAATGAATATTATATATATTTCTAAATGTTGGATAATTTAATAATTTAAAAGCATTTAATAATTTATTGCATTTTATTTGTGCAAGGAAATAAATTTAATATATTCTTAATTGAAAAGAATTATAATTATAAAAGAAACCATATTAATCTAATCAGATTAGTTGCTTAGTATTTGTATAAAAATTAATAAGCAAAAAATTTAATGAATTTTCGTGATTTTATTTAATAATAAGTGAAAACGCAGTGAAAAATGTTGTTATATAATAATAATATTAATATTTGTGAAGCAAAACGAGATTTAGTGAATCATTAGAATCCCATTATATTTAGTATTATTATTACAATAGAGAGCGAAAAGCTTTTGTAAACAAAATTTTCTAAATATAAGAAAAATCTGTACGAAAAATCTAATGAAAAAAAACTTTCACTTAGTTTGTGTCAGGAAAATGCAATTTCAAACTCTATGTAACAGTAATATAACGACAAAAAAGTCGGAGCAATGAATCAAAACTAATGACATAATTCTAAATATATTGAGTGTACAAAATATATATTGTATATGTAATTTATATGGTAGTCGCAAAAATAAATTTTAGCTTTTTTTGTGCATTAAAAACTTTTTAACACATCAAATTTGTATTTTAGAAAATATTAAACCTATTCTCGTCACTGTTTCCAGGGTAAAACAAATACCGTATTCATTGGAGATTTTGCAATTTGCAATTAGATGAGTTTTATCCATCATAATTTTTCATATACAGTACTGTATAGTAAGACTGTAGTGTATATTGAGATTTAGCTGATGACCAGACAGTGGGCGCTCAGACACTCATTTTTTAGGCGTAAAGTGATTATATAATTATTTTTGCTTTTAGTTGCTTATCATATATCATGCAAACACTTTTTTGTTGTGTATTTTTTGTGTATAATTTATATCAATTATATCTAGAATTTCATTATAGTGTGCATTAATGTTGAACAGAAATACACTTTTTGTGATGTCAAGAGTGGCGTACATTATATGAAAATGCATTTCCAGCGCAAACACGATATTTAAATTTATATTTTCGGTAAAATAAGTCTTATTCAACATTTGAATGTTGTTTTGATGAGTGATTTTGATGTGCGGCTGAAATCTGAGGCAATCAAACATAAAAAACCAATTTTTATGCTAAAATATTTTCGTTTCAAACCTAGTCTAAACACTAACCTCATGTTAGCTAATATGCAAACACACAGAATAATTACAGTACATGGCGAAAAATCGCATGATTTATTTAATTAGTTAATGCATTAATTATTTTGTGTACATTTAATACAAATTACTCGTAAAATTAACATTTCGCACACGAATCTCACACAATGTACTGTATTTGCACTACAATTCTGTGAGTCGTTTACCAGAAAAAAAAGTAAATTATAAAATAAAAACATTAAAACTTTTGATTAGCGAGGAGTGGACTCCCGGATCCTTCAGTTGGCGCCGTCCGTTGAACACCAGGCGTCGGCGATGTTGAGTATTCTTCGCCGGTATTCGTGGCACGTCTTCTCCATCGTGACGAGTGATATCGGAGGGCACGACCACTTCATACGCGCCGTCAGGGATAAGGTGCTGTCGATAGACGACTTTCGGTGAGTGCTTTTGACGCGGCTTTTGTGTGTCATTTTCGCGTCACAATTACGGGTATAGTTGGCAATGAATGCCAAATATTGACAAATCAAAGCCTTATTTTTCTATTTAAGACTTAAAATGCTTAATGATTTCAAATAAGGCTTTACTGATTCGTCTCAAGCACTGCGCGAATCAATAATTTGTTGGTTTTCTCTCATATATTTTCAAAATTCATTTTACATAACATTTGCTTTTTATGTCAATTCCTGAAATAAAAACGAAAATTTAAGATAAAAGTCTTTTGATTTAATTAATTATACGAACAAATCGATTGCAAAGACCGATAAATAATAAATCAAATGAATTAAGGACTCCTTGAATAGGAAAAAGAAAAAATCTAAAGATTAGATATAATAATAAATCTCTAATTAAGTCACACGAGAATACTCGTAGTATTTTCAAAGTAAATATTTCTATTTATTATGCTATTTATATTTCTCATTGATTTTATACATTAAAGCTAACGCATTGTTTAAGTATCTGTGTAGAATTGTGATTATAAATAATAAATTATCATTTAATATGCAATTTGTTTCAGTTATTAAATTTTAATCCGGAAATTGTTGTTATTGTTATATTGTAGGGCATTCATAATTTAGTATTTAATTATTTTCTAATTTGTAGGCAAATTGAATTTTCAAAAACATTTAATTATAGCGATATAGTGGAAGAGTTGTAGGCATTACTCCAATTAGACATCAAATGCTTTGGAAAGCATTTGATGGGAAAGTGACTTTAGTTTCATAAAATTATTATGCAATCAAATACAGCACTACTCTATCTGTATATTAACTTAAAGTATGTCCCAATTGTGAACTATGTATTTATAATTTATGCAAACATCGAATTATGAAAATTTTAATTTTATTTAAACATCATATAAATAAATAAAGGGCTCTCGTTTGCATTATGTTAACATATTGAGTACCATTACTGCCAACGTTAACATATTTAGCTTTTAATGAATGATTTAATTAGTTTTAAAATAATTTTTCAACGTGCATTCGGAATATAAAAATTGAATAGCTATTTGTTGGTAAAAGAATATTCTGTAATTTAAACATAGAGTAAGCAAAAAAAGTGAAATGAATTTTATGTTTCTAGTTTTCATATCGAAAGCAATTTGGTCTCGAATTTCAATAAAATATAGATTTTCTGGACTCGAAGTTCTTATTTCACGGTTTAATGTCACTTAATGTCGTCACTGTATCTGTGATTGAGTTCACGTGATATTCTTCTTCATCATAATTCTATCGACAAACTCTTGAAACAAGTGATAAAAAAAGAGAAACTATTTTTTCATATATGAAATGCCTTTAATGTATAAATCCCAGAGAAAATCAAATATTTTTATGCATTTAAAGAATTAATAAAAGAGTCATAAAATCTAGTATTCAGTGTATTGTCTATTGTTTCTAACGATAAATCATAGCATTTAATGAATTTGCTATCAAGAATAAATTGAAATAATATAAAATGTATGAATTTTATGGTTAAAAATGATATATAAATAGTTTTTTGCGAAATTTATTTGCCAATAGTATTGGGGATTCAATATATAAATACAAAAAAGTGTTGAAAATTAGTTTTGAAAGCAAATCAATTTCAATTAGTTTTGTTAACTCCTGATATGGAAAAAGAAATTTCGATTTTATGTTCAAAAACGACAACTCTTTTTGTCATTGAGTTTTCGTTTCAATACACGGTTTGAAAGATGATTTCAAACGCATTGTTAACACAAAAGGGAAGCAAAATATCTCACATGTCGTGACATTTTCTATCAAAATTCTTTAGCAAAGATTGAGACTTGATTTTGGCAAACATTTTGTACTCTTAACTTATTATGGGTTTTGAATCAATACATGGAAAGCATAAACTCATTCTCTATGAATAATAGCCTACTATTAGTTACATAATGTTTAAAATATGATAATTCTGTGGACCGCCTCACAAAATATTGTTAAACAGCTATTAATGTTTAATAGTTATCGCTTGACTATAAAGTTACTCCTTTCACTTAATATTTAAATTGACATAATATTAGTTTTATAACTAGTATAAAATCAATTATAGATATAATTGATTTGATCATATTTCACAAGTTAGTATATTTTTATTTTTTTAAACTCATATACAGTACTAGTCATATACAAGAATATATAATTTGTATCCATATATAGACCTAAAATTTTATTCTAAGAAAATAATTGCATTAATTCCAAAATTCTTGTACAAAAATGAATAAAATAAGACATTTTTATAATAATTCATATAAGTTTTAACTCAATTTTAGTTATGTCTGTATTTGTTAATCCCTTTAGAATAATACGAAATCTAATTTATAAAACAATTTAAATGGTTTTAGAAATGAATAAATAAGTTTATTATTTAAGGCATGTTTTATATTTAATTATAAATATAATATTAAATTTTTAATAAACACATCAAACGGTATATACCAGTATAGTGAAAACATGTTTACCGAAAAGTTAACAAATGTTTTCATTTTGTTGATCGTCACAAAATTCGCTCAAATGTTGAGATCATTATTGTTATATAAAGTGTTTAAGTCTTAATAGATTTTTATATGTTTGCGAGTAGAAAGTCTCGCAGTATTTGTAATTTCTCTAACGTTTAAATTAATTGATTTGCAGTAATGTTTAGAATCTGAAAAATCGTTTGAAAACTTTTCTTTTAAAATGAAAGTCACAGCAAAAGCTAAGTGATTGTAAAATTAATATATATTTTAAACCGATTATTGACTTTCTGGGGAACGGATCAAAGGATGAAAGAGAGGAAGAGATGCAGTTATGGAGAGAGAGAGAGAGAGAGAGAGAGGGAGAGAGAGAGAGAGATTTCTATAAATAGCATCTGAGATACGAGACCCAGAAATCAATGTTCGCTCCTATTTTAAAAAACATTGATATAAAAATCCAAAAACTTTTGTGCAAATAATACAATGACTGTATGATATGTGTAATAATTTATGAAGTTATTGTGCACACAATGAAAATTGACTATATAAATGAAATACGCGAATGTGACAATGCAACCAAAATGGCATGGCTGAATTTATGAATAAGCCTTATATATTCTATACATTTATTAGGTTCAATATTCTGGACATTTATATCATCAAAAAGAACAACAAAGAGGAGATCATGGAAGAGCTACTGGCGCTGTCGGTGAGTGAGGCCCGGGTCCTACTACTGTACTCCACCAAAGAGGAGGCCTTTGAGATTATGGCGGCCGCCGAGGAGCTCAAGATGACGGGCAAGAACTACATGTGGATCGTCACACAAAGCGTGTTGGGAGGCGGTGATAAGGCACCGGGATCATTCCCGCCGGGAATGTTAGGTCTGCTAATTGTGTTACTTTTCAGTCTCTTATATATCGATCTATTATTTTCTTCCCTATTCTCTGTCGTGTTTTCCGCATTCAAACAGATGTAGATTTGAACACAAATTGCCATTATTTTGGGCTTTCGTTTGCTTTAAACTAATTACAAAGTATACGACAGACAAGGCATACATTTGGGGGATATTTCTCTGCGAAAAAATTCTTTACTATTATTCTTATTCGTGTTTAATAGACATATAGGTTTGATAGTAAATGAATAAACTTTTAATTTATTACATTTCATACGAAAAAAGCAGTGTTTGAACACTCATTTGATGGGTCTTACGAAATGGCTATACATTAACTATAATGTCAAATGAAAATTAGTCTTTTTTGGTGTAGCCGTCGTGGTTCTCATAGTATAGCCATAATCGTTAAAATCAGAGCCACTAATGCCTGTTAGGGAAACGATTGCCTTAACGTGTATGTCGTCTAATACACTGTGAATGACATCTCATTCTAGGCGTTCATTTCAATACAACACACCAGAGATTGTTGGATGAGATGGAGAGAGCGGTCACTATCTTTGGACACGGATTAGAGCTGTTTGTGAACGACCAGAAGAATCTCAATCTCAGTCTATCGCCAAACCTGAGCTGCCATGGATCAGCTGAAACGAGATGGAGTCGCGGAGACATATTCTTCAAGTCTGTATTGATCCGCATTTCTCTAGTATATACCGTATGAATCAAAATGAAATCCAAGTTAAATCTAATTTAGGCAAATATTTAAAGTCATTACTGCATTAAGGCATTTATTGCCCAGTGTCAATTTAATTAAAGAACTTCCAGATTATGTTTAGATAGCCGGGAGGTGTGCCGCTATTTATAGAAACTAGCGTTTAGTTGCTTTCTATTGAATCCATAATTTGTTGGATTTATATCTCTCTCGTTGTATTCAATCTGTTATTGAATTCTTAAGATTAAATTTTTTAGTGATTTATATTTCAGACTTTTTTGGGATATGTTTCTCGCAATTCTTTAAAAGCGATTCACAACTAGAGAAACGTTTTTGTGAAAGACTTTTTAAAATGAGAATAAGAATATAAATTTTTAAAATATAATAAAAACTTCCAGAAAATGTTTTGCCAATATTTTACATAAACGCTGCGCTAAAATCGCAAACCTTTTTTCAAATGATATTTATAATAATATTTTCGGTCCTTTTTATACGATAAATATAACTGCAAAAATGTCTGCGGATTCCTATTTATGTATACATAATTTATAGGAAAAGCAAAATTTTAATATCATTACAAAAAAAGCTTAATTTAAAATTCAAATTCGTTTTTAAATAATATATTATACTAGTTTTCTCAAAGCATTTCTTTAAGTTATATCTTTAGTGAAATACATTCCCTTTAAATGTATTTCCATTAATGATAAACACGATTGAATGCATTTCACAGCGCTTGACATTATTTAGCCTAACATTCCCGCTATATTGCCATTTGTCAACCCATTCGGTAAAAATTGTATAATTAATTGTTTTTAATGAAACTCTTTTAAAACAAATAAAATCAAATTCTTCAACAAGCATAGCGTATATTTTTGAATAATTCCCAAAATTTGTTAATTATTTATTATATAATTTAAATTTTTCAAGCGACATGAAAACACTATTAAAATAATATAGATCTTACGAGAATACTGGTATATAGTAGAGAAAGTAAACATATTTTGATACGATATTTTCTTATAGTATTAAAAATTTGCATTTTATTTGACAGTTATTTGCGAAACATAAGCGTTAAGACAAAGCACGACAGGTTTAACCTAGAATTCAATGCCGACGGAACTCTCAAATATGTTGAGCTCGATATCATGAACCTAAACAACATCGGGATATGGGATAAGGTATCCATCATTTTGTCGCACATATTAATTACAATCATTATTATAGCACTTATTGTGTTTATTAACGCAATTACTAAATTTTCTATTTTTTATACTGTACTACAAAAGTGATATAGTATTGTAGGTATTTTGTTTCTAAATATAATCACTAGCGTAGCAATTATAGTGATTGTCATATAATAACAATAATGCCATGACTTTCAATATAATCTAGACTAGTATTGAGTGCTTATAATTAAGTCAATTCATAATATCCTCTTTAGATGTTATATTCAGAAATTTGTTTTTAACTCAAACCCTTTAACAAAGAAGTCATTTGAGAATATATTAAAGTTAACTCTATTGTCGATATAAACTAAATTTAAATATTTCCTTTCTTATTCTTTTTTGAATGCATTTCTTATGCAAATTTGGTTTAATTTTACACATTCTTAACACAAGTCCTTATATTATTACTGTATTTGTTATCCATTATTTGTAATTCTATGTTTAAATAAGCTAATTTAAAGCAACATTTTTATACTGTATAAAATTCTACACTCAGTGACATAATTAAGATTTAAAATCCGTTCAGATTTTTTCGCATTAAAGGTTTTTGTGTTTTTTGTGTAAAATATTATATTTAATGATTTTTATTTTGACTAGTTTATATAAGAAATTATAAAATTGTGTCAATTCTCAGGTGTATTGCAAAAGTTGTCAACTTTTATAAAGAATATTCTCTCACTATCTTAGGGTTGATTTTAAATCACAAAATCATATCCAATTTCAAACTTTATTAAAATTTATGAAATTTACCAAAATTAAGTAAATTGCACTTAAAAATTAGGTCTTATAATTTTGAATTAATCACTATAGGTTGAATATTTTTAAAAAATAGTGTTTAATTATCTAGATAAAAAATATATAACTTAGTATCAGTATCCATTATTCATTTATAAATTATAATTTCTTATTATTCATTTATAATTTATTACTATGTACTTATATTATTCTACTTATTGTTTCATTAATACAATAGCTTATAATTTTGTTTTATAATACATTTATAAGAATTATCAAAATCAATACTCTGTATATTTATGTGCACTTTATGTGAGGAATCTCTTGTAAATATAATTCACAGAACTCTCTAATAATAAATAGTTTGACAAACAAACGGCTCGTTTGAAGTGCTCATACAATATCTCATGTCTTACAGCCAGACATTTATATGTTTTTATTCCTACAAATATGTAATTCTTGTATTAATAATGAGAAAAATAATCTTTTTATTGGCATAGATCGGCACCTGGACTGACCAGGGAATTGAGATAAAAGGTAAGACTTATTGGGAAACCTGTGTAAATGCTTTTGATTTGGAAAAATTATTGTCTTACGAATCGATACAAATACAGCAATAGTTGTTATATTTGTCTTACAAATAGAGAAGAGTTTTATTGAATCAATGATTTTCTGGTGAACAGGAATAAGACTTTCTCTGTTTTGTTAGAGACATGAAAAATAAGATTTAATTATTTTTTCTTATTTTTCTAATCTATTTAATTATGTGTCGACCGTTATAATCAATAACAAAAATAATAATCATAAAATTTAATATTCTCAATTTATATAATTTAATAATTTATGTGAAATCAAAACTTTACATTATGTTATTTGCTTAATATACTTACTATGAATGTATTATAAAATTCCGGCAATAAATTTTGTTTTAAAAATAGACATTAATTAGCAATAATTAAATTAGTGGATTGGAAGATTTTTATATTTATTATAAAAATACTATTGCATTAAAATGATTCCTAAGATCTAAAAATAGTATTTTTGTTCAAAAGATTTATATTTTATTTAAAGAAAAACTCCGAATCAAGGCTTCATTTTGTAAATGATTTTCGCTTTGATTTATTTGATTCAATATATTCCCTGAATATTTCATGAGTTTATTTTATAGAAAGCTTGCAATAAATAAAAGGCTCGACTTTGAGAGTATAAGAAAAAGTAGAGTATATTAGAAAGCGAAGTGAAAAATTGTTATTCAAACGGTCGCCCACTTTTTTTTGTGCTGATACTAGAGCCGAGAATTTGATAATAAATTAATTAAATAACAATTTATTTAATAATTTAAAGCCAATCCAACGATAGTGCGATAGGTTTGCTGTGCGCGCGATAATATTAATAGTGAGGGCTGTCATCCCGGGGATCAGTGTTAAGGCATAGAGCGAACCTACCAGACCTCAGATTTATTTATTGGCACCGTTTGAGTGCCACTCAGGGATGAGACCACACTATACTCGGGCTGTAATTGAATTGAGTTGAAAAGGCATTTATTGGATTGTGTTGTGATTTATTTATAAATCCAATGATTAATATTTTATTTTGCCAATTGTTTGGCCGCACGCATAGACATCACATGGCCGGGCAACTCACCGGTGGCACCGATGGGAGTGCCTGAAAAGGTTAGCCTATAATTGAAACGTTAAATATTTATGCCCATTGACTGTATTGTAGTTAAATATTAAACCCTTTGTTGTGCGGGAAAGTGTTATTCGTATAACTTATGCCTCAATTACCGTACGAATAGGAAATCGTTGATTAATTCATACGTGTATTTATTTCCATGCATTTCAGTTCAGTCTGAAAGTGAGTTTCCTGGAGGAGCCGCCGTTTATAAACTCCGTGCCCCCTAATAACGAGACGGGCGAGTGTGAGGTGAGTCGCGCCGTACGCTGTAAGATAACAGAGCCGCCGAGCCTCGGGTCAGTAGTTTAAGAGTGTATGAAATTTTTATAAAGTTTCTGAAAAAATGATTCATTTGACGCTCAATTAAGTGGTAACAAGAGTTCATCGGCGAGTCGTGTCCGGTATAGTTGTTGCGCCGGATTTTGTATCGATTTGTTGCAAAAATTTGCCGACGATTTGAAGTTCACGTATGAGTTGAATCGTGTGGAGGACGGCGCGTGGGGTGTACTCATCGTATGTGTCACTCTTGTTATGTTTAATGTCTCATCATCTCTAATGACTGCACACAACATACTGTTCCCCATATATATATGTTAGAACGGCTCGTGGAATGGCCTGATAGCGGACCTACTGAATCACAGGGCAGATATCGTGGTGACGTCCATCAAAATAAACTCCGATCGCCAGAAGTACGTGGATTTCACGGTCCCTTTCCTGGAGACGGGCATCGCTATAGTGGTGGCCAAACGAACCGGAATCATATCTCCGAAAGCGTTTCTCGGTTTGTTTATTCTCTTAACTGCTTTTAAAAGCTTTCAACTGAACAACACTTTTGTATTATTCATTTACGGCTAATTTGTTTGTATAGTCTATAGCGGGGAGTCTACAGTACTTGTGCTTAACTGCACGCAATTCTGTACAACACTCCAGTAAACGGTAGTATTCTGTGAAATACAGTACAGAATATCTATTGTTAACCAAATAGCGCTTAACACACACTACACAACCAGTCTCTCTCTCTCTCTCTCTCTCTCTCTCGACTATAATTGAAACGAAACTGATGTCCAAATTGCTATTTAACTATAAAAAGGAAATATAGTTGTCTTATCTACAGAACTGCAACTCTTTCATTCTTGTAGTCCATTTGGTTTTGCATTTGTGTCTCAAAAACACATTTATTTATTTAGTCATTCACTCGATCTCTATTCGTAATGCATTTGAGCCATAAGTGATTACAGAATCCAAAAATGACACTCATTTTTGTGAAACCTTTTTGTCGAAAACTTTAATTAAATTCTTTTTAACTAAGACTTAATTGTTTTGATTGAATGGACAAAGGAATGCAAATATTTTCTCAACTAAAATACAAACACATCTATTGTTTGAAAATGCTTTTTACAAAACCAGTGAATTTGAGACACAATGTTATACTCAGTGTAAGAATATAAGGAATGTATGATAGAATTAATAATTAAATCAATTATGAGAAAAATCTGGAGAATTCTTGATAATAATATAAAGCGATTAATTGAAGTAAAAACCATTTTAAAAGTAGATTACATTAAATATATTAAATTAAATACTAATTAATCATAAGTGAAAAATGAAAGCCTAAAAATAAGTAATAATGTTTATATGCCTTACCATTAAATGTCCTTTAATTGAGTTAATCATTATTTTGAAGAGTTTTGTTATTTTTAACGCAATATTAAACTCGAATTTTACGACTCGTGTAATGAATGATTCAAAACATTGATAACTCCTTTTGCCGTAAAATTTAATAAAATATAAACTCCTTTCTAAAGAATAATTTTATTTTTAAATGTTCCGTAAATATTACAAACATAAAGTGTTATTTATAATATTTATAAGAGTTTACAATGAAGTTTAAGTGTTGTACAAAAAGTATTGATTTACATATAAAACACACAAATATACGATATAAGTGTATATTTAATGTGTATTTCTGGTGATGAATAGAGCCGTTTGACACCATCTCATGGATAATGATTTTGCTGATCAGTATTCAAGTGTCGGCGTTCGCTATATTCCTATTTGAATGGCTGAGTCCATCGGGTTATGATATGAATCTCGTCCCCCCGAGAGGTACGCCATTTGATCCATACATGTATACGACACACAAATGTCTCACAATTGTCTGCTTGTTATTCAGACCATAAATTCTCATTATTCCGGACCTATTGGTTGGTTTGGGCCATACTTTTTGGTGCAGCCGTTCACGTAGACTGTCCTAAAGGATATACAGCCAGGTCTTGACTTTAAAATATATTTTTATTTTGTTTGATTTAGTCTATGTTCGGAATACAGACAATAAAAAGTAACTAAAAATAAAACAATACTTATATCATAAATAACCTAAGTTTTAAAAATTTCAAAATTGAGTTTTATTTATTTTTATAATTAAAATTATGAACAAAATTTTCCAGAAAATAATTTTCAATATACTGTAATTATATTAACATAATGTTTGCGCACAGATTTATGGCCAACACGTGGGCCACGTTTGCGGTCGTATTTCTGGCCATATATACGGCTAATTTGGCGGCGTTTATGATAACACGGGAAGAGTATCACGACTTCACAGGTCTGGAGGACCGGAAGCTCCAGAACCCGCGACTCCACGACCCGCCCCTCAGGTTCGGGACCCTTCCGTACGGCAATACGGAAGCGGTGCTCAAGCAAAACAAGCCTAAAATGCACGCATACATGAAGCCATACAACAAGACGTCGCCCATTATAGGCGTTCAGGCCGTAAAGAAGGGGTAATTAATACACTCGTTATAAGAGGAGAGGTTTGACTCTAAAAATCTATAATAACATCACTTCATGTCTATTACGACAGAGAACTCGACGCTTTCATATACGATGCCGTAGTGTTGGATCATTTAGTCGGGTTAGTACTCCAGTTAATATACCAGTGCTATCTGTGCGGTGATATACTGCACATCCACACTATTTAAACGCTATTTCCATCACTTTATACGGCGGTTGTGCCACATATTAGGCCTATATTGTACTCATTTATGTGGAAACAAGTTAATCCGTTTCTTTAATCCGTAATTTCCTATTAAACAATAAGTATGTCTTTAGTTTCGTTATGTCTAGCGAAGCGAATAAATACTTAAATTTTAATTTACTTAATTGGATATTGTGCTGAATAAATGTATTTTTTGCTATTAATATTATATGTATGTTTGGACAGGGATGACAGTGATTGTGGACTGTTAACTGTCGGGAGCTGGTATGCCATGACTGGCTATGGCTTCTCGTTGCCAAAGAACTCCAAATATCTCGAGAGGTTTAACAAAAAGATGATTGAATACAGGGAATCAGGTTTGTTATTTGCCAGAATATTCTGTGACTAAGAATAGCTTTGTTTGAGATTAAATTATCAATAATATTGCACTAACTCTTAATAATAATAACAAAAAAAAATAAATATTCTTTTATGAATATAATAAATACTTGATTTTTGTTTTCAATAAAGAAATATTTTTTACATTAAGTTAGATATAAATCTAATCTCTTATTTTCCAGAACTGCAAGAATAATAGAAAATTAATTAAATAATTTTTAGTTTTCTTGAGCACATTAAAATTTAATCGTTTGCTTATTTGTTTCTCTCGAAGTTAATTGAATAATTAATACAATGAAACATTTAAACAACTCATCGACTGAATTGAGTATTTTTGTAAACAAGTCACTACAGTATAATATATCTAATACTATGTTTAGCTACTTGAATTATATAATATATAATATAAAGTTTATATATTATATAATACAGCAGTTAACAGTAAACATAGTATTAGATATCATCCATTGTTTGCACCATTTGCACAAATATGGATTGAAAGTCTATTTCAAAAATAAGAATATATTCAATATTTCAAGGGATTCTTGTTTTTTGCAAATCTTTCACATCTTTTAAATTTAAATTTGAAAAAATTTGAAATATATATACAAATAAATAGGTTTGAAAAAATAGTGAGTCTTTTTGGAAAGTGTATATTAAGGCACAGGCTTTAAGAATCGATTCTTTGTTTTTATATAAATAAAAGTGAATATAAAAAATGAGAGAATATTCATCACATTTATCCGATTCATTAATTTTATTTTGATTGTATTCGACGTTTTGCCCGAAAAATAACAAAACAAATGTAGAAAAAAACAGTTGGCATAAAAAATAACGAGTATATTTTAGATATATACAAAGATCGCACACAAAAAACTTGAAGCAAATAAATTAGAGGCGAGAAAAATGAGGCGAAAAATAGTAATATTTTTTACTCTCCATATAATTTTTAGGTGATTTGGAAAGACTTCGCAGATTCTGGTTTCAGGGCGCCTGTAAATCACAGAAAAATAAACGCAATATTAGTAAACCGTTGGATATAAACCAATTTATGAGCGCTTTTCTGTTGCTCGGCTGCGGTATACTATTGACGGTAGTGTTGCTGGCGTTAGAGCACCTGTACTTTAGGTATTGCCGGCAGCACCTGGCCAAGACTGATAGGGATGGCTGCTTCACGCTTGTCAGCCTGGTAAATGCCGTTTTGCTCACTACCAGAATCTAATTTACTATACAATATAAATGTTATACGCAATGAATAATTGTATGTTTGTGTGACTGTATGGTATGGCGCAGAGTATGGCCCGGTCGCTGAAGTTTCCTCAAAACGATGGCAGATATACGTACCGCCACTGCAATGATCCCATTTGTGACACGAAACGTCGGCTGACACTACAGGAACTGGATGTTACGAAATCTAAGTTAAGACAACTTCAAAGTGAATCCACCTCTTCTGATATGGGGCCCCAGAATAAGCACTATTTGCACATTAATAGTGTGGCAAATGAGTCCTACTCTAAGGCCAGGGATATGACCCGAACTGTGTTGACGACCAACGATCCGACCATTTATGGGCCGAAGAAGTCGAAAGCGGTCGCCGTATCCGAGTTCGAGACCGTATTGTGATTGAGACACAATGTCTTGAAAACATTTATTTCGTGTTTTAATTTTTGTTTGAAATTATATGAAACTAATTACAATTATAGGGTAATTAACAAAACATATGTCAAAGTCTTATAAACCATTCCACCAGCGATTCAGTGATTGATTGCATAAACAAACGAACAAATAATCATAAGATTCTTATCTAATCTATCATTTCCAGAGTTTGGATAGAAGTTTATACACATTGAGTACATTTAGTGCTAAACATTTGGGTTTTCAACACACTTTTCAACAGAATTGCCAAATATTTTGTCTTTTAATGATTATTGCGCTAATATTACGGATACAATGAATTTTAAAACAAAACAGAAAGGAAATCAAATTTTTTTGCCAAATTATTGCTCATTTAGTCATTAAATAGGCATTTGAAATCCAATCAACGAAATACATGATAAAATCATACGATTATGTGCTTTATATACAGCTCATTGTCTTATCTCTCATTTACTATTCATATAAATATCTCTTTAAACACCAGTTTTCGCATTAATTCTGAGTATTATTTCTCTCTAATGTTTATTACGACAAGAATTTATGTTATCGTTTCACTCATTCAACTCAACTATTCTTGAAAACAATATACAGAATCTTAACTTTAAATTAGCTTCTCATTTGTTTTTTGTTATTTCTGTTAAATTGTCTAAAAAAGCTGTTTTATGCGCTATTTATAAAGGGTTTACTGTTTAGCAAAATTTAGACAAAATTAGCTGAGAAGTGATTATTTTTAAACAGAGTTTTCAACTAATTTTGAATTCAAAACAAATTGAACAAATATATCATATAATTTAGGAGACATTTTAAATGATAATAATTGTGTTTTTAAAGGAAATAAAATTATTATGAATTTTGTGATTTTTAATTATAAAATAATAAATAATTTATTTGACTTTCAATGTAAATGAAAGGAAAAATTTTGTGACAAATATACTGTAAAACTATATAAAGGTTTAGGAATTAGCTCTAAATGTCTGTTGAATTTTATGATAAAAATTTTAATATTGATGTAAAAATAATGGATATTATATTAATAATATTGTATAAAATAATTTAAATAATTTATTATGTAAATAATTTAATAAAATAAATTGTATATAACATGAGATTATAATTTAATATTGATCATGGAAATGATACATTAATTAACTAATCCCTTAATTTATTAAGTTTTAATTTTATTTAAAAATTGATTTATTAATGAATAATTAAGTTTTGAGTTTAAATAAATAAATAGAGTGTATATAGGTGAAATTTAAAATTAATTTTAAACTATCAAATCTACTTGAGGGTATAGGTAAAATTGTAATAAATATCTAGTTTTATTAAAATCCAATAAAAACTATAAATGTTAAGGTTAAATTTATTTCTATACCAATATAAGATAAGCTAGCTAAGTTATTATGATATAGTGCAGTAACTTATCAAATATAAGTAAAGGTTGAATATACTTGTATTATATATATATATATATATTACTATTTTTATACAATATATCACATAAATGTGAAGTGCAGTACCATTTGAATAAAATTCTCACATATTTCCAATAAACCCTATATTGGAAAAGAAATGCAAAAAATATTTTAATATTAGAGATAAAAGTAAAATATATTTGAGAAATATTTGAGTCGTGAAGTGAATTAAAGTGATAGACGACTGCATTGCAGACAATGCTAGCAATAGAGGGCACAACACGTCAAACGTGTCGACAATTTGTGCACAAAATCCTAATGTTTTTGTAAACAAAAAAATTTAAAGCATTTAAAGCGTCGCTATATTGATATGATTGTGATTTAGTTATCATTACTATTACTATACAATTAATGGACACAACATCTCAATGTAGACCACACCGCGATATATAGACTATTAGTTTAATATATTAATGAATTGTGAATTATATGCATATTATAGCCAATTATTAGTTCATATATCGATTACTCATACATGAGATGAATGCCCGAAACAATACATTTGAATTTGTGAGTTATGCCTTATGCCCTGGTCACTTTTGGGTTTCATTTATATGCTTGCTATGAATTTATGTGTATTTTGTTGTCATTTGTCTATTGATTGACTGAATGGTGTGTTTGTATTGATTGCAGAACTGTTTTGGTCCGGAAGTCAATGAAATAGTTTCGGCAATATTTCACTCAATTGTCTTCTATAGGTGTTATGGAAAGGTATGTCTAATGGGTGTCCACTCAATCTATACCTATTTATATTGTGTGTTAGTTTATGCCATTAATTTGCTGTAAATTGTGTTTAATTTGGTGTTTAAAGTGCATTGAATTGAATGCAAAATGGTGTGAATATATAGCCCACAGACAATCGCCCTATAAATCGATACTCAAATCAATATAAAAAACAATAATTATATAAAAATTATTAGTTTATAATTTGTGTGTTAAATAGTAGTGGGAAATGAATATACAGTAGTATTACTCGTAAAATTAATGTCAATTTGAGATATATTTGTTAAAATAAGTTTACCCAAAGACTTATCATATGTTTGCCCATAGATTAGCTCTAATTATCTATATATAGCCGTAAAATACTGGGGCTGTTGTTGACAATTGATTTTGAATACAATGTATAAAACTTTTGTTTCAATTGATTTAACGCTTGAATTGAATTACAGTTTCACTACAAACACGAGGACTCGTATTCAATCGGGACTCTCGGCTACGAAGAGATTGCCTGTGATTTCATAGACTTTACTTATGTGTGTATATATTGANCTTTTGTTTCAATTGATTTAACGCTTGAATTGAATTACAGTTTCACTACAAACACGAGGACTCGTATTCAATCGGGACTCTCGGCTACGAAGAGATTGCCTGTGATTTCATAGACTTTACTTATGTGTGTATATATTGATAGCGAAACACCATTCACTGGGTGTTTATGTAACTCACTGTATGTTGTTTGGGATTTTTTAGGTCAGAATATCATCACCACAACTGATCGCAACCATAAACAAAGAGATAAAAGAGTTTGTCGATAAACTGAGACAAGAGAACAGTCACACGACTACCGGTGCCATCAGTTTGGAGTTCTACTCGCGTCGGAGGGGTCGTTGGCCTTTCAATGACGCGCCGCTTGTGTGGGAGATATGGACCGTCAAAGTGAACTGTGATAGGGATAGAGGTATATGCGTGAGAGTGGGGGATGAGTGGGGGAAAGGGATGGCGAACTGCCACTGGAGTCTCACTTTAGCTCCGCGACTCGTATCTCGTCGTGAGATATAACGTCTTGATTAGGATTTTATTTGTTTATTATTTATAGAAAGCAATGAAAGTCAACAAAAGGGTCGAATCGAGGAGTTATTATTGGAGAAATTGGTGACAATCGTGCAGATAATGAATAGCAGTAAAAGCTATTTACCGCAAATGCCTAATCAACAGCACTCGGACACCATATTCGAGACCAATTACACCGACGTTCAGCCCTATATATTCAAGGTATTGAACGCTCAATCAGTTTGTTAGACAATAATTCCTAATGACTGGACACTCTTGCCATTGATTGTGTGGAACAGATATCTCATTCAGTGGGCGCCGCAGCTAACACACCAATGATGGCAACTCAAGGCACGGGCGATGGGAGCGCTATCAAGAAGTTCTTTAGGGAAACGCTAGCCCTTTGAGAAACACGAGTACTCCCTAAACACTTGAATTGATTTGAATGCACACCCGATGTCACACTTTGTTGACTAATTAATATTTTATTGTATTTCGAGAGATAATTCAAATTAAAGAAAATTCAATTTATAGAATATTTAATAGTTTTGAGTTTTATTGCCAATTTTCATATAAATAGTAATATTTTTTTCTACAAATTTTTTACAAGTTTTGTTGTTTCGTTTAATTTAAATCAACTTTACATTCAATAATAATAATAATAATAAATGCGTGAAAACACTGTCGTATTACTTGCCGAGAATGGTGTCTTTGATGGCATCGACGTATTGCGAGGGCACCCAATAAAGCCATATCCGCGAGGCCTCCGTGGGTCCCATTTGGATGCCCATCACGTGATACTCCGGGTGCTCGTCGATGGGCTCACTGACGATCGACCGGATGTTATTCATTGGCACCTTCTCTGTCCGCTCGCGCGTCCCGATCCACAGCTGATCCAACTCCAGCTTAAACGTGAGCCGCACCTTATGGTTGTATTTGTTGATCATTCCGTGCAGTGGCTCCGGCGGCAGATCCGACTTGCCGTTCCTCCAGGCGGGCATCGCGTCGTCCGGTAAGCCCTTGTCTATCACTTTCTTGTGTTGCTATTGTGTGTCAATTGTTAGTGTGATTTGCGAGTGTTTTGTCCCCAAAAAGCAATACCTTCTGTTTGCAGAGTGGTTCCCGAGTAGTGATTTGTGTGCGCTCTTCCTTCGCGTCCTCAGCGGCCGTCTTATTCTACAGGTTGTGAAGAACCTCTCACCTAGGCTGCGTGTTATGAAACTTGGGCAAAAACTATAATGAAAGCGATTCTCAAAACAACAGGACTTACCCATAAGGATAACTTGGCAGCTAAGTCAGTTAAATGATTCAAATCATTGGATTCCGAGACAAACCTTTGACGACCAGCTTCTGCATCGAAGGGTCCACTTTGATAAGCGTCTGGAGCTTCTCCTTCAGCTCGCGTCCAGTCCTCTTGAGTCCGATCTCTATATCGTGAGTAGTTTTGTTGAAAACTATCTTAAGTTTGACGATCTCTTCGGAGGTCGACGGCTGCGACGACTCGTCTTCGTTGTCGTCCGCGGTGACGGTCGGCGCGGAAGCGGAGGTACAGGCGCTGGTGGTGTCCGACACCTGTGTCGCCGCCGCCACTTCGGCACCACTTTTGGTGGACAAACACTCCAAGGATTCGGCGCTTTTCATGTGAACGTCTTGAGACGTCTGGTCGACGGCCGCCTCCTTATCGTCCGTCCGTTGGCTATCGTTAAGGCATTCGTCGATTGACTGGATTTGAGCGCAATTAGTGTCATCACTACCACTACCGGACTGAATGACAGGTATCTTAGTGTCCACTCTCTGGCCATCGGTGGCGGCGCCCGTCTGAGTGG